GTAGTAGCATCATTTGGTTTACTAAGACCATGATAGATTCCAATTACAAATACATGTGATGTTTGAATAATACAACCCAGTATAGGCCATAATTGACTAGTACTACTTTCTGACAAGGGCAATGACGTAATTTATTTAAATACATATAAATGTTGTAAATTATCATTTTTTTAACTGCTAGGTCCTTGCAATCTTCGACCATAAGGCATAAATTAAAAGTAATATAAACATAAACTTAAAACTGATATAAGGAAATGACACTATAATTTCAAAGTTTCAAAAGTAGTTTAATTAATTAGACTAAGAAAATATTAAATTATAATTGGAAAAGTGCGTATCTTTATGCATTATTATCAATTTATATAGTACGCATAAGCATAATATAAAATAAAATATAAAATATACCTAGATAATAAATGCAAATGTAGGTTAATTTTAATAATAATTCTCCAAGTTAAAATCATATTTATTGGTACATAATTATTTAAACTGTAGTAAAAACGAATTAATTAAATTACTAATTAAATTATTAATTAATGATCGTTAATGATATTGTATTTGCCTTAAATTATTCTAATATTTTGCTTTTTGCTGAAGATACAAAGATTTTCAAATTAATTAATATGCATAATTATTACAAATCGATATAAATAATATTTATGATTAGTGCAATTCTAACGGAATGACACCCAACAGTCAACATTAATAAATGTAAAACCATTTCTTTCTCTAAAAAACATAATCTTACATTAAACTGTAATTTAGTCCAAGCTTTTCAGATAAAATTGGTATCATTTTCGATTCAATACTTTTATTTAATCTACATTAGAAATCTCTAAAAAAGCTCTCCCAGGTGTTGGTACGATTGTCAGATTTGAGAAACCAATAGTCTAGGTCACAACAACCATATTGAATCTATTCAAAACAAAGTATTTCGCTATATACTATATACATTATTATACAACCTCTTTCTGGTTACGAGAGTAGGTATTCTCCAATTATTAAATTTTTTTAAAAGATAAAAGATAAATTTATTGTAATGGGATTACGCAATTCATGTACAACGCTCATAATAACAAGAACCACTTATGTGGAAGGCGGCCTCGTCGACCGCACCCAAAAGTAGTCATAGCTAGAATAGAACCACAACAACTTCCCAAGGGCGCCTACATGCCACGCGCCGCTCAATTCAAAGGGCGTCGCCTTCGTATATTCGTATATATAGAGGCCAGGGCCCCAATTCACATTAGATGTACCTGAGCCGCCAAGACCGAGCGAGCAGCTTATGCACCAGCCATTACACACAACTTACATGGAGATTATCGACTACTACAACGAGTCAACTCATGACGCTGCAATTCACCACGACTACATTAATTATTATTGGTTTTAATAAAGTACAATTGATTCATATTTTAAATTGACTATATTTTATTGTAAAAGTACAACAGCTTTTGGATCCCTGAAGGGCCATACGTAACACTGGCGCAGTCGAAGTAGGATTTCTTTCAACTCCAAGAAGAACCATCAAAAACAAATAAGTCACGTCGCGGTACCAACAAATCCATCAGCACCATCAGCAACCAGGAACACAGCATTATTGTGAGTGAATAGTTATTTAAATTTGTTACATAGACGTATGCAACATAATTAAGACATATTCGATAATTCTAAGTAGTTGACTATAAGTATAATGGTGTAAAACGTTTTAAATTTTATTGAGGGCATATTTTATTGATTATTATTGAAGTTTATTTGAATTTATTGAGGGCATTTTTATTATTGAAGTATTATTGAAGTTTATTTGAATTTATTGAGGGCATTTTTATTATTGATTATTATTGAAGTTTATTTGAATTTATTAGAGGGCGTATTATTGAAGTTATTATTGAATTTAAAGGGCATTTTTTGAGTATTATTATTATGAGTATTAACGTATTAAATAGGTAGCTAAGTAATTTATGGACAAAACAGGTACATCTCCCTTGAACGTAGCTAATTCATTGTATGACACTAGTGTAAACGAAGAAACCCAGTTAGAAGCCCAGTTTTTAGCGCAGAAAGAAGCCCAAGTATACCCTGTTTCTGGAAAAACTTTTAAAAAATAAAATTGATGATTCCTTTCTTTTGAGTCTAATAAAGATTAAAATAAACAATAATTGTTATAATTATTATAATACAAAAACCTCTTCTACATGCCACCATCTTCTAAAAATATTTAACATGTTCTGCTATTAAAATAAAACAGCAGTCTGCTAGTAATACATTTTCTAATGATCAATTATTTAATTGTTAGTTACCTATACCTATTGAAATAGTCTTTTTTTCTTTCACTTATTTTATATCATGTAAAATGAATTTATAATGTTAACTGTTCATTGTAAATGTATAGTTTAACTGTTTTAGTTTTTTTTGTCGTTATTCCTATATATATTCATAATAATTGGAATTTTAAAGAAGTACCATCATTGCTATCATTATATGTAATTAGTTAATGAATTTGGACTTATGTCCGTTAATAAATTAAAACCAATAATAAAATCACTAAAGCTAATGTTTAATAAGATGGGATTGGGAAAAATGCATATTTGACAAAAAATTTAGTTATTATTAAAAAAAAATATAAAAGTTACCTTTACCTACCTCTAAACTTTAATATTTGTGTAAAAAGTTAAATGCGTAGGGCATAACTATTCGACATCTCGTAGATGTTAGGTATATGAATAAGGATAATATAACTATAATAACGTGCACTTAATATATCCTGAATACATTAAGCCGCATCCAGACCAAAGAAACATTTGTCTTAGACACATGTTTTCGTCATGGTAGTCGACAATGTTTCCGATTTCCGCTCATAAAACATAAATATTTGTCGACGACAATGTCGGAAAAAATTGTTGATGACAAGTGTTTTTTGGTGTGGATGCGGCTTTAAATGCATCGTACTTTTGTAAAGGTACTTACAGTAAGATGGCCGCGATGAACAAATAATTATTAAACGGCTTGCCAAAGTAATCACTATAGTGTTTCTATATTCTTCGTTTTATCACACAATTTCAGACATCTGTTCAGTTATTAAGTACGGGGCCGTAGAAGGGCCAACTTATAATCACAATAAAAAATTAATATCTCGTTCATACAACATAACTTCTTGTAAGCACCAGATAATTTCTCGTTCGTACCACAAGCTATGTTGTTATATCAATATAATTTTCTTGTTAGCTCTAGATAATTTATCGTTTGTATGACAAAACATTTTGTTATAACGATATAACTTTCTCGTAGACACTAGATAATTTCTCGTTTTCACGACAAAACGTTAGCTTAGTATAGTGGTATTGACGACCGGCAGACTATGCACAACAAAACGTTAGCTTGGTATAGTGGACTGGGCGCGGGCGGACCGACAACATAACATAGTTTAACTCGGTACTTACCAACTAATTAAGTTAAATTTACCTAATATACTTAATATTTTCGGTGGTTGTTACTTGTTACCTCCTACACACTTATTTTTTAATTATTGTAATATGGAAACCGATGAATTCATCAAACACTATTTTCATTTAGGCCTTAGCCATAAAGAAATTTGTTTACATTTAGAAAATCATCAAGTGTATATTAGTATTCGTACTTTAAAAAGAAAGTTGAAAAAGTTAAATTTGTGTAAAAGAATACATTTTTCTCCTTATAATGACGTTTACCAGTTCATTGAAACTCAAATTCATGGTTCGTCTGAACTTCATGGATACAAATGGATGCATAGAAAATGTCTTAATGTCGGATTAGTTGTTACTCAATCAACGGTTAGTGAAATCCTACATGTTATTGATCTAATAGGTATAGAAGTCAGGAATAAAAAAATTAAGAAGACGAATGTATAATAACAAAGGTCCAAATTTTCTTTGGCACACAGACTGTTACGATAAATTAAAACCATTTGGTATAGCAATTAGTAGGTGTATAGATGGATTTTCCAGATTTGTAATATGGATGGAAGCAGTCCCATCTTGTTATGATCCAAGAATAATCAGTGGATTCTTTTTTAATGCCGTTCGGGAGTTGGGTGGTTGTCCTAAAACTATTCGAGCTGATGCTGGAACTGAAAATAGACATATAGAGCAAATACAAACATTTTTTCATCGAGACATTGCATCAAGTAGACCACCATTTATATATGGAACTAGTCCTGCCAATCAAAGAATAGAAGCTTGGTGGTCAATACTAAGAAAACATAATAGTCAATTTTGGATGAATTTATTTCATAAACTTCAAGTAGATGGTCACTTTTCTGGTTCTTGGCTTGACAAAAACTTAATAAGATTTTGTTTTTTGGATATAATAAGGGTAATACATAGTGTTTTTATGTCAATATTCAAATATAAATACATAAATAAATGAAAAAAAATATTATAAATTTAACAATTTATTTTTTAGAAAGAGTTGAATGATGTGGTTTTGGAATGGAATTCTCATAAAATAAGAAAGTCCAAAAATAGTATTTCACTAAGTGGTCGGCCACTGACTATGTTTAAAATGCCTCAACATTACTCAACTGAAAATTATTTGATGTATGTTGATGAAAAAGATTTAGAAGTATGTGAGGAAGAATGTATTTTTAATACACATACAACATTTGATGAAACATTGAATGAGATTTGTCAAATTATAATTATTGAAGAAAATCTCAATGTTACAAATGATCCTTATGAATTAGTTAATATTTATATTCAACTCAGAAATACAATATTAATGAATGTAGAAAATAGACAAAATCAATAAAAAAATTCTTATATAATTATTATAAAATATTGAACAATATATGTAACGTAAATTAAATGCTTAAAAAAAAACAAATGAACAACTTTTAAGTTACCAATTAGTATTGGTTGTACAACAAATATACTTAAATAATAATATAAAATAAATAAGAAACTATATAGTACATACATTCTTAATATTTGTATATATAACAATGTAGATAGTTATAATTTGTTTTAAATACTGTACATTACCCAAATATTTGACTGGAGCAAATTATTCATTTCACTTCTAAATTGGATGATACTTTCATACTCAGTTGGAAGTTCTAGAGTACTAGAACAGGTATGTGCAATAGGAATTTTCAATAATCCGGTAGTCTTATTAAACTGTATTTTAATTTTAGTGCCAGTAATCATATCAGCACCTGTGCAAAATCTAAGAAAATTAATAACATTATCTTCTTTAGTTTCTTTAAGATACTTTTTTAAAAAATTTAATGTTGTCCTTTGAGTAATTTCCAAATCAGAATCTTCAAATTTTATTAATCTTAATACATTTTTAGAAGTCGCTTTCAAATTATTATATATACTATTTAAAATGTCGATAGAAATATGTTGTTCCCATACTGCTTCTTTTAATTCTTCTGTAAAACAATCAATTATGAACATTGGCTTTTGAATAAGTTCTTTGTGTGCAATTTCTTCTAATATTTTTATAAAGTTATTTTTGTTTGCAATATTTCTACACCCTAAATCACTTAAAATATCTATTATTTAATCTGTATCAACATTTTCAAAATCCTTTAATGCGTTTGATAAAATATGCTTATCAGCTTCACATTTTGTTTGTAAGAATACTTCGATTAAGTCAGATTCAGTATGTCCAAATAAGAGCTGTTGAATGGCTTCGTTGACCACTGTGTCGATTCGTGTGCAGTGAGCGCGGACTTAAGCGTTCGATGAAAACGTTCGACCAAACCATTTGATTGAGCGTGATACGGCGAAGTTCTCGTGTGCTGAATGCCGAAAGTCGAAAAAAGAGAACGGCATAAGTCGGACTCGAACTGTCTTCCCTGGTCGGTGGTGATGATATCGGGAACGCCGAATCGTGCGATCCAATTCACGATCAGCGATTGTGCGACTGCGTGAGCTGACATATTTTCGAGTGGCCAGGCCTCTGGCCAGCGAGTGAATCGGTCGACGACGGTGAAGTAGGTACTTGAAATTGTTGGACGACGGAAGTGGTCCGACGAGATCGACATGAATGTGACCAAAGCGACGTTCGGGCGGCGCGAAAGGCGTGATCGGTGAAAGTGTGTGTTTAAGTACCTTAGCGCGTTGACATGGTTCGCAGCATCAAGTCCATCGCGTGATGTCTTTGTGCATGTCCGGCCAGCAGTATCGAGACTTGATGAGTCGTAGCGTGGCGCGATTTCCGCCGTGCGCTAATCCGTGTAGCGCGTTAAAAACTCGAAGGCGGTGTACGGACGGTACGAACAAGCGTGCGTTGCCGGTCGTGTAATCAGCGTAGATTACGCCGTCGACTGATACGCGCGGTTGCAGGCGTAGTGAACTCGTCGCGGTACCACTGATAAGCTGCTGCAATTGCGGGTCAGCGGCTTGATCGGCGGCCCACTGTTGCATTGTCGGTAGGTCAGCTGTTTCGGCGATCTCGATACGTGATAACGCGTCTGGCACGACGTTATCAGAGCCCTGAATGTGCACGACGTCGTGTATGTGTTGCGATAGGAACGAAATTTGGCGCACTTGTCGGTCGATCATTTTTTCGGACTTGAGCGAGAACATATACGTAAGCGGCTTGTGGTCTGTACGTAATGTCGTTTGTCGTCCTTCGATCATGTGAATGAAATGACGTGTGCCCAAAAAGGCGGCGAGTAGCTCCCGGTCGTACGTGCTGTACCTCTGTTCGGTGGGCGAGAGCTTTCTTGAAAAGAACCCTAGGGGCTGCCACCGGTCGTCGACGTGTTGCTCGAGAACGGCGCCCACTGCCACGTTAGATGCGTCGGTGTTGAGACGTAGGGGGGCGTTCTGGCTGAGGTGAGCGAGTTTCGCGGTGTCGGCGAGGGCTCGGCGGCACGCGTCGAAAGCGGCTCGAGTGTTGTCTGTCCATTGAAGTGGTCCGTCGCGATTTTTGATTTGCGACGCAAGGCTGTAAAGAGGCGCTTGTATTTCGGCGGCGTTCGGAATGAATCGATAGTAAAAATTTACCGAACCCAAAAACCGTTGCAGCTCTTTTTTCGTGTTTGGCCGCGTCCACTCGTGTATTGCGGTAACACGTTCGGCGTTCGGTCGGCACGCGTCTTTGTCGATTACGTGTCCGAGAAACAGCATCGTGTCGGTCGCGAAAACGCACTTCGCCGGACTGATTGCGATACCGTATTTTTGAAAAAGTTCGAGGACGGTACGGACATGTTTAACGTGCTCAGTCTCGTCGCGTGAGGCGATTAACACGTCGTCGATGTACGCGAAAACGAAATCCAGTCCGCGTAGTATGTCGTTTATTACTCGCTGAAAAGTTTGAGGGGCGTTGCGTAACCCAAAACACATGACGGGGAATTCGAAAAGACCGAACGGTGTCGTGACTGCGGTTTTGTGTACGTCGTCTGGCGCGATCGGGACTTGGTGATAAGCACGTACCAAATCGAGCTTCGTGAAAATCGTTTTTCCGGCGAGGTTTGCCGTGAAGTCGTGTAGGTGCGGCAACGGGTACCGGTCGGCCACCGTGACAGCGTTGAGCCGGCGGTAATCACCGCATGGTCGAAACGTACCGTCTTTTTTCGGAACCAGTAAAAGCGGGCTGGCCCACGAACTCGATGACGGCCTGCAGATGCCTTTCTGCAGCATGAAATCGAACTCTTGCCGTGCGATTCGTAGACGATCGGGCGGCAGTCGGCGTGGTCGGGCGAAAAGTGCTGGGCCGGTGGTATGTAGCTCGTGTACCACGTCATGTAGGAACTTGGTCGGTACGGGCGATTCGCGCGTGACTTCGGGGTAGTCGCGAAGTATATCAGTCCACTTCGATGGTCGAGCGACGGCACAAATCGCGGTACGGGGCGAGGCGGTAGCGGGCGTGATTTTTACCGAACTATTTACCGAGAGGTCGACAAGGCGATTTCGGCGTATGTCGATGAGCAAACCGTAGTAATGCAGGAAATCGGCTCCGATAATAGGTCGAGAAACGTCAGCCATTTCGAACGTCCAGGTGAACAGTCGTTTGAAACCCAGATCGAGATGTAGTTGTCTTGGCCCGTAGGTTTTGATTTGTGAGCCGTTTGCGGCTACGAGTCTTATTTCGTTGCTCGAAGTGTGGCCGTTGTTTTGCCGAAAGTTGGGTGGTCGCGGTAACACCGAAATTTCCGCGCCGGAGTCGATTAAAAATCGACGACCGGTACGGGTGTCGTTGACGAAGAGTCGGTGTGTTCGCGCGGCGAGGTGTGCCTCATGGATTTTTCCGTGTCGCCGACACGTAAGTGCACGGGTCGCGGCACTTGCGCGCATCCGCGCCGTACTGGTCGTGGTAGTAGCACCAACCAGCCGTTATGTTGGGTCGCGGCTGCGACTGCGAGCGGGAGCGCTCACGCTGTTGGCGCGTGGAACGATCGTTGGTCGTGCGAGTCAACGCGGCTGCTTGTGATGTGGCCAGGGACGCGACTTGAGCTGTAAGCGCGTGTATCGCGTTTTCAAGCGCGAGAAAACGCGCGTCTTGGTCGGGTGGACCTGCCGGCGGGATCGGGCGAGTGATGTGTTGCGACTCGCGTAAGTCGTGGTCCCTCGTGACAGCCGAAATTTCGCTGCTCTGAGACGCCTCCCAAACTCGGTCGGCGCGTTCGGCGAGGAAGTCGACGGAACCGGTAAGACCGGCGATGACGGTGCGGACAGGTGACGGCAGCTTGCTCAGCCAAAACGCGAGCAGAGAGGCCTCCGTCATGCCGTCGGGGTAGATTTCCCGCATGTCCCGGAGCAGGCGTGATGGGGCGCGATCGCCCATGCCGCCTGGCTGGATCATGCGCTGGAAGCGCGTTGCTTGCGGAATGCTGTAAGCGGCGATGAGTCGTTGTCGGATGGACTCGTACGTCGCGTCCGATCCGAGCAGATCCGCGATCGTGCGGACACCGTCTTCGTCCAGAGCTTCAAGCACATGGTTCACGCGCGACAGATCCGAGCGGATTCGCTTGTTCGCGAACATGGCGTCCGCGTGCGTGAACCACTGCGTAGGGGAGTTATGCCAGAACCCCGGAAGCCTGACGTGAGTGAAAGATGCGGTTTCCACGTAAGCACTCGGTGTGGTCGTGGTCGCCATCGTCGTGGTGGTGATTGGTGGATTGCCACCTGTCGCGGCGACAGTGATGCTGGGCTCGATCATTCTGGATCTCGCGGATAAACGCGGGTGAAAAAATGAACTCGACGTTGGTCGTGAAAGTCGGGTTCGGTAGACGCACTCGCGGTCGGGCGGAACTTTCGTGTCGGAAATCGGCGGGCGGAATCGAGTACCTCAGAACGTTACTGGGTATTTCGTTTAACGAATTCGGAGGTCACCAATGTGGTACACGTGGGGTTGCCCCGCACTGTGTCAACATGCGTTCGTTCTGGACTCCGTCGCAGAGAGTTTTAGGTACACAAGTTTAGGTATTGAAAAGAATGAACACACAATGTCGTTGATTGACGCGGTTGCGTCGAAAGTCGTTTATTGTTAGACACCAAAATATAAATATGTGGTCGTACGCAGTACGACGATAGAGGGTACGTTTTGGGGTCGAGCGCATGGTCGTTCAGGTCGACGGTATCGGGTGTGTGCTCAATGCGCGCGCGGTCGAGCGAGCGTCGGTACGTAGGCGAGTCGGGCATGAGTTCGGTGGTCGTGTACGGGGACCCTACGGGTCGTGTAAGTGTAACACGGCTCGTCGGTTGTCGAATCATGGCGTCGGGTAGAGAGCGGAATACTCGGTACGTGTGGCTCGGTCGAGGGCGGTGAGCAAAGAGAACGATGCCGGCCGGTCGGACGGCCGCGTCGTGAGCGTCGGGGACGACAGAGATGGCGTCGCCAATCGGAGACGCGAGATCGATTAGCGTGGGAACATAAATATATAAAAATCACAGAAGTTGTATAAATAAAACGAATATAAAATAAATCACAAATGACAATATAAATATGGTTGGTACCGCGGAGCGGGTGGTAACTCGGTCGGTGAGAGCAAAGTGGTGATAAGCGCCGAAGTCACCACAAATATAATAAATCTATATGATTAGTTTTTTCGATATTACTTACTTGTAAAGGTACAATTACTTTTTTATCTAAACAATAAATATTAATAGAAATATCTTTTGTTCTTTTAACAAATTTCTGAACGTCTGTGGTTTTTACCGGAAATTCAATATCTTTAAATTCTTTATCAAATTCATTTTTAAAAGGAATATATTTAGTTACTCTTTGAGCATTTTTTTCAACAGGATGTAAAGCAGAGAGTATTGCCCAAAGAAAACATTTATCATCTTCATTTTTAACATTTATAATAGCATGTTTATCTCCAATGTGTTTAGGTAATAGAATATATGAAGAACCCTTAAAAGGAACATATTTATTTATATTTATTCCCAAACTTAAAATTTGATGAAGTCTCCATTGTGAATCTTTCATTATAAAATCTTCT